CCCCCGGCGCCCGCCCAGGCCCCCACCACTGCGGCTCAATGCTCTGCCCCTCCTCCGTCAGGTAGTCCAGCAGCTTGTCGTCCGCCGCGTTGAACACGTGGCGCGCCAGCGGCGCCAGGCGCGTGTACACGTACCTGGGAGGCGAAGGGGCAAAACATATGCGTGATACGGCGCGGGGCAGCAAAAGCGCATGTGTGCTCGGGTGCTGGTGTGTTCGTGAGAGAGTGCTCCCGGCGCTTGAGTCTGTTTTTATGTGTTTGGATGGGTACGCCGACCTTGGTGGCATGGGTTGCCTGGGCGGCAAAGGGTGCAGAGCAGGGGCGCGTGCAGGCAGCGACGACGGGGCTGGATCGGAGCCGACTCTGCAAAACGGCGCGGCTGATTGTGTGACGACACTGCCCCCCGGCAAGTTTGGGCGCCTGATGCCGTCCAACCAGCCGCGTCCCTGGCGCTGCCCCAGGGGCCCACACCTGGCCGAGGCCGCGTCCTTGCCGCCCTGCAGGCGCGTACCAAACTGGCCCGAGGGGAACAGCAGGTTGATGTTGTTGCTGCCCACAAAGTCCTGCGGGGGTTCCGGTTGGGACCGTGTATATATGTTGCTGAGCCAGGGACGGCCTCAGCGTAGCAACGCTGACGTCGCACAGGGTGTTTTCGGCGCAGCGACAAGCGTCTGCAGGCTGCGGTGCGTGGAGTGGCGAGAGCAAGTCTGTTTGTGGGTGTAAGTGCGGCTGTCTCCCCCGCCCCAGGGGCCGCGCCTGTGCGAGGCCGATGATGGTCTGCTGCAGGGACGCCTCGCCGTGGTGGTAGGCGCTGTGCTCCGACACGTAGCCGGACAGCTGGGCCACCTGACATTGTGTGTGTGTGGGGGGGGGGGGCACGTGCGCACGCATGCAGGGATGGGCTTGAGGCGAGGAAACTCTGTCGGGCCGGCCGCCTGGACTTTTGCTGACAAGTGAGAAGCTTGCCTTGGTAGCCCAATCAGGCCGCCCGCCCCGCTGACGGAACGCGCAGCCACGCAGCCCTCTCCCCCCTCCCCTAACACACACGCACACGCACACGCACACGCGCACACACACACACACACACCTTGATGTCCTTCTTGAGGTTCCTCTTGAACGCGCAGAACATGATCTTGCGCTGCCCCGGCTTGAGGCCGTCCACCAGGCAGGGGATGGAGCGCTCCAGGTCCGCGCGGCTGAACAGGATCAGCTCCTAGGGGTGGTCACGAGGGGCAGAGGGAGGAGTGTGTTGGATGTGGGTCGCAATCGTCGCGTTCAGTGGAAGTGGAGGGGTCAGAAGAGGTGGGCGGCCTCCTCTCCTCCGCAAGCCCAAGCCTGCCGACGCGGCAATGCTTCGTCCGCCGCATGAGAAGAGGTCTCTACAAGCAGGACGGCCCCCTTAAGCAACCTGGCCCCCCGAGCGACACGCTGTGCTGCGGCCGCGTGCCTTGTGCACAAAGTCGCTGTAGCTGATGGTGTCGACGCTCTGGTCGAGGTACGTGCCGGGCACGAAGCCGCTGAGCCACTTCTTGCGGTCCTCCACGCGCTTCTTGCTGAACGCCATCTCGATCGCCTGACCGTCCTCGTCGCCTGGGGTTCAGGGTTTAGGGTTGAGGCGCGCGGGGTGGTGCGTGTGTGATGCTTGTGTGAATGTCGATCGTGTGCCGATAGGTGCACACGCACGCTGGTGTGTGTGTGTGTGTGTGTGTGTGTGTGTGTGTGTGTGTGTACGTGCGCGTATGTGCGGACGCGCTTTGCATTTTTTTGCATTTCAGTGTGCATGGGACTGGATGACGCGCTGCAATGAGGTGTGATGAGATCTGTGTGTGGGCATGTGCGGGCGTGCGTTTGCCCTCATGCAAACAGCTGCTCTTCCTTGCATGCCTGCGCGAAGAAGATTGAGGGGCGCATAAGTGCACTCCCTGCAGCCCCCTCGCGTCCGCTCACGCGCCCAGTTCTGTTCCCCGCCGCCAGCCCGGGCCCATGCCCCGCGCACCCTCCCAAACGAACTGCTTGCGGTGGCTGTCCAGCGCCGCGAAGTACTCCTTGGCCTCGCGCGTGTCCGACGTGCCCAGACCCTGGGGATGGGGAGGGTCGAGCCGGGAAGATGCGCCACGCCGTTACTTGCAGGATCCAATGCCCACTTACACACGGACTTGCTTATATACTTACGTACCTTGGTTGGCTGCAAAGCGGAGCCAAGCAGAGCAACGGCTGCTCACCCGCGGCTCGGAGGCGGGACAAGGGCACGCGCGGGGCACGTGCCCCCCAACTCACTGCGAATCGAGTCGGCCGGTCCGCCGCCCGCCCCCGTACAAACCATCTAGCACCCCAGCCAGGCTTCCCTTATCAACCTCCTGCCCACCCTCCCCGACGAAAGCGTGCTAGACACTGCAACACACAAGGCGCCACAGCCGGCCTGACCTATGGCGCCCCCACCGCCTCGCCCGGCGGCTCCCCTTAAGCCTAGATCTGCCCCCCAAACCCTGCACCCCAGGGCCGCCCCCCCTTGACATGGCACTGGCCTGACCTTGTAGTACTTGATGTCCCATCCGGCCGTGGAGCCGACCTCGTCGCGCCAGTTCTCGTACTCAGGCAGCGTGTAGAAGCTCAGCACCTGCCGGCCCTTCTTGGCCTGAGGGCAGGGT